TTTAATCGAATTAACATTTTTAAAAGAAATTTTAGTATTGTTGCAATCCTTAAAAACTGCGGCGATATCATTGGAAATTTTCCCGAGATAAGGTAGTGAAAAGTATTTAAAATTTGCAGGAGAATCATTAGTAGAATTAAAAGCAAGTAGGGACCTTTTCTTTAGTTTGACCTTATTAATAACCACGTCAATAATAGAAGGATTGTAGTTGTTATTAAAAGCTAATTGTTTTAAAACATTGATTTCTTTATTAAAATTATGATTGGATAGAGGTATATTGAGGAGACGGTGAACATAACAGTATATGGCTGATAACTTGTATTGATAAGAGTGATTAGAGTGAAAATTAATTAGATGATCAGTTAGAGGAGGTTTCCTGTAGATATCAAAATCAAGCTTATTATCCAGACGACTAATAGAAAGGTCTAGGAAATTAAGTGATTTTTTAACAGGTAAAAAAAAATACACTTTTATGTTGCCGAAATAACTGCCCCAAGTCCTTGTTCAATGCTCCAGTACCAGAGCTGGGGAGGATTTGAAACTTGGGATTCGAATCCTTTTTGAGGATCCGCGAGCGGGATTCGAATACTTAAGAAAAAAAGGATCCGTGATCCGGATTCGCCGAAGAAATTCTTAAGGATTCGTATTCGAATCGACTTACGCTTTGACTTTAGCAAAGTGTAAACTGAAACAGACTAAGACCGAAGACCGATTGTTAATATTTAGAAAATAAACGTAAGAATCTACAAATTAATTCAAAGAAGGCAGCAGAGCACCTAAACAATTTTTAGTTGAAACCTATGCCATATTTTTAAGCTATTTTAAGGCTATTTTGACACCCTATTAAAAATTTTATGCTCCTCGTTTTTTACAAAAATCAAAGTTATCTTCAAAACATCTCGATTTTTTAGTTTTTTTCTAAAAAAAAACACACTGCATTCTTAGGCTATTTTTAGGCTCCTGAAATATTATAAAACTTTACTAAAAAATTGCTATTTGTAAATAATACAGGGTGCTTTGTTGGAACAAAGTCAGCAGAGCACCTCGGTTTTTAAAAGCTTTTTTTCTAAAAACAATCACACCGCCTTTTTAGACTATTTTTAGGTTCTTGAAATATTTTAAAACTTTACTAAAAATTGCAATTTTTAAATAATACTGGAACAAAGTTAGCAGAGCACCTCGGTTTAGTTATTTTTTTTTTCTAGAAACATCTAGTTATGTCACATGTTTGAGATATTTTTGGGTTCTTAAAATATTATAAAACTTTTTGAAAAAATAGTGTTTTTTAAAAAATACAGAGTGCTTTGTTGAAACAGAGGTGCTTTGTTGGCTTCGTTCGAAGCTAGCAAAGCAACCTGTCTCTTTTTAAAAATACTGTTTTAAGAGCCTAAAAATAGCCTAAAAATATTTTGTCGTTTTTGGAAACAAACTTAAAAAACTGAGATGCCTTGCTGACTTCTTTCGAAGCTAGCAAAGCACCTTGATTTTTGCAAAAAAACAGTAGCATAAATATAACTTGAAAATAACCCAAAAATATGGCATAGGTTTCAACTCAAAATTGCTAGGTGCTCTGCTGCCTTCTTTGACATCACAAATTAGCAATAAATGTTCAACATAAAAAAATTTTAAAATTTGACACTTGCCTTCCTTCGTCTGATGCAGTCTAAGGATTATTTTTGTTTGCAGGTATATTCGATGAACCTCGAAATTTTGGTGCAATGTAAGGCCAACCAAAAGACATTTTTATTTGATTGTTTATTTTGTTTTTTGTATTAAAATAAAATATATTTTTTGTAGATTCTAATTTATTTATGGTTCATATTTATAGAAAAAAAAATTATTCTTTTCAACATCTTCTTGTATCAACCATTTGTATGCAAGTCATAGTCGGTAATAGACACATAGTTGATATTGATATTAGAATCGGAAGCATGCATAATAACCATGGAATGACACTGACGGTGATTCGTATTCGTGATCCGAAAAAATGGATTCGAATCACTTGATTCGAATCCTTTTTTATTGCAAAAAGGTTTCGGACAAAGGATCCGTGATTCGAATCACTTCTCGTGATTCGGGTTCGTGATTCGAATCAATTTTTTGAGGATTCGTCCCAGCTCTGTCCAGTACCTAATTTATTATTTTTACTGATTTATGAAATAAAATAAAAAATATTTAATTTATATTAGCCATTAGCTCAGATTCGAACCCGGGACTTTCACATGGAAAATAAACGCTTTGTCCTTACCTCCACCGCCACTTTAAGGATTTTAGTTTTAATACTCATTTTAATGTATATTTAATCTCAATAACTAACAAATATACTGACAGAATTGTTACTTATTTATAATTTTAAAAATAATAGTAGTTGGGTGTCTAAAATATGAACTGTGATCGGTGGATTTTTTTGCATCTAGAATGGATATGAGATATATTTGTTCAGTTAAATGCAATACCATACTTTTTCGTTTTGTAGTATGTGCGTAGATAAGTTAATATCCATGTGGGTGTAGAAAAACATTTGTTTTTTATATTTTGTTATGTACCTATGTATTTAATTGGTTAAAAACCCTTTTGATTGAGTTTAGTCGGTATCCCGCGTGTTTAAATATTTGCAACATCAATGTATTTCCCAATAAACCAACTGACAGGAACTTTATATATTATGTCAGTTTTAAATTTAAATTAATCTATACAATTTTGTATATTTCTATTTTTAAATCTTTTGTAAGCATTAAATATAAATCCTGGATTTGTGAAGGCAGATTCAGCTAATTTAAAGATACAAAAGATTTGTTAAGAGCAATCCGAACACCCTGAACATTTCTTATTCATTCTGAGTCTTTATTTCCGTTTCTTGTGAATTTTTTAAGAAATACCAATAATAATGATGGAGGAAAAAATTACACGCCAATCTGTTTTAAATCTATGAAAATTTACTGCATTTTGTTTTAATAAATATCTAGTAGTGTTAATTGGGAGGGGTTTCCACTTTTATTTTCTTAAATGTATCTGTAGAGTGCTGCCTTATCGTTGCACAAATTTAAAGCTCTTAATGTTCTCGAGATACATAACTTCTCGAAGTATTCCCAATGGCATGCATATAAAAACAGTTTTATATTAGACAATCCTCAACATTTTTGCTTTTTACTAAGGTTCGGTTTGCTTTTAAACGTTTATTTTAATTTAATCAACTAATGTAAGCTTTTTATTTTTAAATTTCTACTGTACAGCCACTGATAATTTTATTTGTTAAACTGCTTTTTGTCCACCTACTAGTTTTATTTCGAATACAGCTACACACGATATGAAACCAAAAAATCTGATGTGTCCAACACATGACTTTCCTATCTACTTATTATAGGCTTTTTCCGGTTATTTTGTACAACCTATTGCAGCATCTCAATAAATGTTTAGAGGATAAACTAAATATATACATTGTCCACATACATCTACCTCGAAACATTTTTCTATAGATATTCATGGAAAACGAAAATACTGAAAAATTAAAATTTCCTACAATTTTTTCATTACGGTCCATTTTAGAAAAATCATGTATAAACAAAAATTATAGAGATCGATATCGCAAACAACTTTTATTTCAAAAACTTTCATAAAAATCAAAATTTTGCACATTTTGTCAAATTTCTCGAATACGGACCATTTCAGGAAATTTTTACATAAAACAAAAATTATAGATAATAATATTAGAAGTAACTTTTATTTGAACAATTTTTTTCTCCAAACATTAATAACAGATATATTCCATAAAATATAAAAGTGGCCTCCTATAAAGTACCCCCCAGATGTTCCGACTATGTCTAAAATCTAATAATTTCACGTCAGGCCGAAATAAACCTTAAGTTTAAAATTTAATGTTTTTTTCTTTATCCGTTTTTGAGTTTTCTTCAAAATTCGAAATTTACACATTTTCTCAAATATCTCGAATACGGTCCATTTTAAAAAAATTATGTATAGAATAAAAATTATAGAGAATTATATTACAAACAACTTTTATTTGAACAATTTTTATAAAAAATTATTTTTTTTACATTTTGTCAAATTTCTCGAATACGGACCATTTTAGGAAAATTTTGCATAGAACAAAAATTATAGATAATTATATTAGAAGTAACTTTTATTTGAAGAATTTTCTTCTCCAAACGTAAATAACAGATATATTCCATGAAATATAAAAATGACCACCTATAAAGTACCCCCCCAGATGTTCCGACTCTGCCCAAAATCTAATCAGCTCATTGGACGCTAAAACAAAGCTTAAGTTTAAAATTTGGTGTTTTTCTGTGTATCGGTTCATGAGTTATGCGTTATACAGACACACACACACACACACACACACAGACACACAGACACACAGACACACAGACACACACACACACACACACACACACACACACACACACACACACACACACACACACACACACACACACACACAGACATCATCGCGAAAATAGTCAAAATGGATTCAGGGGACCTCAAAACGTAAAAATCCGTCGAAAACTCGAGGTAGAAAAAAATCATGATTCCTATACTTTCCTTATATCTGTATACAGATAGGAAAGTAAAAATGAGGTTTTGTCCGTTTAGAATTTTAAATTTTTATTGTCCCTGTTTTTTTAAGGTATAATAATTTAACAGTACCAGACAAAACATTTGTTTTCCGGAACATGAGTAGGGTTAGTAAATAAAAACTTGTGAACAAAGAACTTTTATTTATTTATTTATATACAATTCATGTTCAAGAAAAATAATATTTTGCTTAATAATAATTTCATTTCATATATTCTATATGAAACAGTAGCATAATATAAAAGTTTGCGCTAATAATAATTTTTTTTCAATAAATTGAGTGAACATTGACCGATTTTCAGGAATATCTAAAGAAACATCATTTTCCGTAAGATTAGTTTTGATTAAGAATGTTTATAGTACATAAAACTTTCCTGTAGTATGAAAGAATTTAATTGTTTACTCACATTGATTTTTCTTTCCCATTCGATTGCATTTAGCCACAAAAAATCACTGAAATTTAGTTTATATAGTTTTTCACCACAAATTTGGGCTATCACGATACTTTTTTTTAAAACGTCTTAAATAAATAATGGTTAATAAATAATACTAACCGTATATTTGAACGACAATTCGCAACTAAAGTTTCTGCTTGGGTACAGCTGATTCTACCGACATTTATGAACCATTGTTGCATGAGGTGGTAATCATGTTATTTTGTAGTGGGACAGCAAATCACACACATAATTAATTAATAAAAGCTTCTATTTTTTATTTCTCTCTACCAGCTATAGAAAAATTGTTTTACGTCCTACATATAAATCGGGAATGTTAAAAAATTTACACTATGATTGTATACAGAGCCGATCTTAGAGTGTCGACAGGTCGCGTGTAAAGACGTAATGTGCCGCCTCTATAGATAATTAATAACAATGCAAATAAAATTTGAAGTGTAAAACTTTATTTTTTAGCCAGCTAATAGATTATAATAGCGACAAAATACTTCAATAAAATAATAAATAAAAATAGGTATTATCTTTGAAATAAAAATCTGATGTGTCCAACACATGACTTCCTATCTAGTTATTATAGGATTTTTCCGGTTATTTTGTACAACCTATTGCAGCATCTCTATAAATGTTTAGAGGACAAACTAAATATATGCATTGTCCACATACATCTACTTCGAAACATTTTTCTATAGATATTCATTGAAAACGAAAATACTGAAAAATTTAAATTTCCTACAATTTTTTCTTTAAGGTCCATTTTAGAAAAATCATGTGAAAACAAAAATTATAGAGATCGATATCGCAAACAACTTTTAGTTCAACAATTTTCATAAAAATCAGAATTTTGCACATTTTGTCAAATTTCTCGAATACGGACCATTTCAGGAAATTTTGACATAAAACAGAAATTATAGATAATAATATTAGAAGTAACTTTTATTTGAACAATTTTTTTCTCCAAACATAAATAACAGATATATTCCATAAAATATAAAAACGGCCTCCTATAAAGTACCCCCCCAGATGTTCCGACTTTGTCCAAAATCTAATCATTTCACGTCAGGCCGAAATAAAACTTTAAAATTTAATGTTTTTTTATCCGTTTTTGAGTTTTCTTAAAATTAAAAATTTACAATTTTCTCAAATTTCTCGAATACGGTCCATTTTAGAGAAGTTATATATAGAATAAAAATTATAGAAAATTTTATTACAAACAACTTTTATTTGAACAATTTTTATAAAAAAATATTTTTTTACATTTTGTCAAATTTCTCGAATACGGACCATTTTAGAAAAATTTTATATAGAACAAAAATTATAGATAATAATATTCGCTCCGTGCGCGACAGCAGCGCCAATTTGTTTTGGTATTAAAGGAGTATTTCTGCCTATACTGACAAATACAATTTTTAATAGAATTCGTAAATAAAAAGTATATATGTTAGTTTTAATAAAAGTATATGGATTTATAAAACAATTAAAACATTAATTTATTATTATTATATATTTTTCACGCTTAATTTGAAGAAAATTATGTATAATCATTAAAAATCAATAATAAAATATAGGCAGGCAACAGTATTTACTGGAAAATGTATGAGAAGTTGCCTAAGTCTAATAAGTTGTCATTGAAGAAACCATTTATAATAGCGTGAAGTTAAAATGTATAAAAAGGATCGCTACTTATATTTTCATTTTTGTTCTAAAGAAAACATAGAATGAATGATTAAAACTGGTTTCCGATCAGTAAGTCACAAAATTGCATACCAGCCAAATATTATAATCAACGGCAGAAATCTTGAAATCTAGTCCTTGCTGAATGAACATTTAAGAATAAAGGGATATTAAAGAACATCGTAAAATGATAATTTATTGTTTATTTAAAAACTTTCTAGTTTCTGATGTCTACTATTTCCAGCATTACTGTTATTATCACAAAAATAAAGGTAATTTTTCTTCTTATTGTACACCTATCCATTTATTTCTTTGATTTAATTTCCACTTTGTTAGTGAAATTTGTTATATAAGTTTCACTGTTTTTTTTGCTAGTATTTGTACAATTTTCAACACAGCAACTCCGGTTGCTTATTGTGTTGTTTTTACCTACTTTTTTGAAAAAAAGTAAAATGTATACGTGTATTTGATATGCCAAAATTACAAAATATCCCCCTAAAATGCACGAATTATCCGCAGCTAGCGCTAGTATCGCTTTTGCTTCCCTTTCCATGACTTCGCACGGAGCGAATAAGAAGTAACTTTTATTTGAAGAATGTTCTTGCCCAAACGTAAATAACATATATATTCCATAAAATATAAAAATGACCACCTATAAAGTATCGCCCCAGATGTTCCGACTCTGCTCAAAATCTAATCAGTTCATTGGATGGTGGAACAAAGCTTAAGTTTAAAATTTGGTGTTTTTCTGTCTCGTTAACGTAGATCAACTGATTCCTATAAGGGTTGCCAATTTATCAAAAAGACCGTTAAAACTAAATAAAGGACAAAAAATAGGGCTCTGTACATCAGTAGAAAATATAATCAAGTGCGAACCCAGTTCGACGGGGAAAGCCACCACAAGTAACTCAGTTGACGCCAGCTTTATGAAACGGCTAATTAAAAATTATGACCATCTGACAGCTGAAGAACTTAGAAAAGTCAAAGAATTTATCAATACCTCCTAGCGAGATCAATTAGGCATTCCAAACAAATGAATTACCAGTGGGCAGGTTTGGTATATCTAAGGGTAGCGACATATGGTGTATTCTATCTACTTTACGTAAAATCATGAATAATGGATTATATTTAAATATTTTATGTCTACTCGTTTTTGTGTAGACTTAAAGAAGATTAAATCAGATGACACAAAAAGACAGCTATCCACTTCCACGATTAGACGACACATTAAACACCCTATAAGGTTCAAAATGGGTTTCCACGCTAGACTTGAAGAGCGGATACTGGCAAGTGGAAGTACACCCTGACGATCGAGACAAAACAGCTTTTTCAACTGGCAATGGACTATACCGATTTCAGGTTCTCCCGTTCGGTCTCTGTAATGCCCCAGCTACTTTTGAGCAACTAATGGAAATGGTTTTGAAAGGATTAACCTGGAAAACTTGTCTAGTATATTTCGATGACATAATGATCATGTCAAAAACTTTTGATGAACATCCACAAAAATTTGAGTGAAGTATTTAAAAGATTAAAGCCATATTCGAGCGGTCTGCTGGTTTAAATATATTTCATGTGGTTCGAAAACGGTTTGAACTATTCCCATTCGAGTGACCAAACAATGACGTCACGTTGAAATAGGTTTAAACCAGCTGCATCTATTTTTGAAACGTTTCATTGAGAACGGTTCAAGGAAATAGAAATGTCATTAATGTCAAAAATTGTAGCGAAGATCATGCATTAAAATTAATTATCAAAAAAGATTTTTTGTATTACGGTTATAAAAAAAAATTGAAAATGCATAATTATAAAGGTTTATAATTTTTAGTAATTTTTAAAAACTTAACCTTACTTAACCTTAATTCTAAACAACTGATTACAGTCGGATTCCAAATACAACGATCTATTTTTCATAAAACTCTGGTAATATATGAGCTTTTTTTGAGGCAAAAAATTATCTGTTGCTAGAGATTTACACACTCACAAATCCTTAACTGTTAGTGACATCACTGTTTTAAAATCCTATATTTGAGCGCTTTCAAAATCTATGACGTAGTATTAAAACTGGTTCTAAAAATTTTTAAACCAAAGAGATCGCTCGAATAGGGCTTAAGAAATACCAATCTAAAGCCTAATCACAATAAATGTTTACTATTCCAATCGGAAGCTTATTATTTGGGACACATCGTTTCTGGGGAAGGAATCAAAACTGACCCAGAGAAAATTATCGCTATCAAAGATTGGCCTAAACCAAAAGATAAAAGAGAAATTAAAAGTTTTCTTGGACTGTGTTCATATTACCGGAAATTCGTTAAATACTTTGGCCGAATTGCTAAACCTCTTCATCGACTAGATTAGATTAGATTTAATTAGGACTATGGGCCATGTGGCCTCCCCCACCTCGACCTTTTCAGATCTATTGTGGATATCCTTTAATCATTGTTTAGAGTACCTTGTCTAATGCGGTCTTTTGTAGTAAACTCCATAGACTGGAAAGTAGTTCTCCGGTATAGCTAGTTGCCCTTGGTTTTTCTTCTCCAAGTGTAAGGAATCTCAGTCTTACTAGACCTTCGCAGTAGCACAATACGTGTTCTGCCGTTTCCTCTTCTTCTTGACAGAATCGACACAAGGCCTCTTCTGTCAGACCGATATTGAACATACGTTTGTTAAGCCTACAATGCCCTGTTAATAGACCTACTAGTATTCTAGTATTTTTCCTATTAAGGATTAGTAGATGCTCGGTGAGTTTAGACGATGGTCCTTTTAAGAACTTTTTGGCCTGTCTCTGTCCTGGTGAGTTTTCCCACCACTCCTGAGATTTTTTAAACATCCACTGCTTTGTGCATGTTCTGATAGTTGTTTTTGTTACACCACAGAAGGGTTCTGGGCCAATAAGAGCATTTGATGCTCCTTCTCGGGCTAGTAAATCAGCCTCTTCATTGCCTTTGTGTCCCCTGTGGCCTGGTACCCACGCTAAGGTTAGTCTGTTTTGACTACCCAGCTCTGTTAGGGCTTCCAAACAGTCCCACACAAGCTTTGAGTGTACCTGCATGGAATTGAGTGCTTTTAACGTCGCTTGACTGTCTGAGTATATGACAATGGTTTTTCCATTTACCTTCTGTCTTAATACTTCTTTTGCGCAGTGATGTATTGCTGCTATTTCTGCCTGGAATACTGTCGCATGTTTACCTAAGCTCAGTGAGATTCCTGTCTTTGGCTTGGTACTATATATACCTACTCCTGAACCTTCATGGGTTTTGGAGCCGCCTGTATACCAGGTGAGATCTGCATGAATAGGAGGTCCTCCCGTCCACGCTTTCCTGTCTGGTATACTTACTTTATATTGCTTTTAAAAGCTATACTTTGGAAGCATTTCGTCTGAAGGCATTCCCACTAACTGAAAACAGTAGTCTATTTGATTGGATGCCGGATTGCCAAAATGCCTTCACCGAGTTGAAAAAACGATTGACCACGACACCTATCCTAGCCTACCCTCGAGGAAAAGGATAATTTATTTTGGACTGCGACACATCCCAACACGGAGTGAGCACCGTGCTATCCCAAGAACAAGAGGGGGAAGAGAAAGTAATTGCGTACTTTAGCAAGACCTTTGGAAAAGCTGAGAAGAATTATTTGGTCACCAGGAAAGAACTATTAGCTATTGTCAAAGCCCCTTAACATTTCCATACTTACCTTTTTAACAGAAGTTTTATCATTAGAAGTGACCATAGTGCTTTGCAGTGGCTGATTAATTTTAAAAAAACCTAA